ATTCATTTTGGCTCACAGTTTGAAGAGACACAGTTCATCGTGGCAGGAAAGGGATGGCACCAGGAGTATGGGGCAGCTGGTCACATTGCACCCACAAAAGGCAAAGCGCTGGACACTGGTGTTCAGCTCTTCTTCTTCTTCTTCTTCTTCTTCTTCTTCTTCTTCTTCTTCTTCTTCTTCTTCTTCTTCTTTTCTTCTTTTCCTTTCTATTCAGTCTAGGACCTATGGGATGATCCTTCCTACATCCAGGGCCAATCTTCCTCCTCCAGTTAAACCTCTCTGTGACACTACACAATGGTATAGGTGTGGCCCCTATAGCATTCTAAATCCAGTCAAGGTGACAAGGCATATTAACCATCCCATATATTAAAAGACAATTAACCCTTTCTGATACAGGCATCACATAACAGAACTAGAATAGGGATCCCTGTTTCATTCTCCAGCCTTGGGTCCTTACACGCAACCACAGAGAAGGGGGGATGAAGTTTGCATAAACCCATCTCCAAAAGCAAGGAGAGAGGTAACATTTGATGAACAACTTAATTTCCCCAGCAGTGCACCAAGGTAGGGAGAACTTTCACTTTTTCAAATAAGGAGGCTCACTGAGTGAGTGAGGCAACACAAGTCTTTGTTCCCAGCACTCAGGAGGCAGAGTCAGATGGACCTCTGAGTTCGAGGTCAGTCTGGTCTACTCAGCAAGTTCCAGGCCAGCCAAGGTAACATTATGAGACCCTGTCTCAAAATATTCAAATAATCTGGGCAGTGGTGGCGCACACCTTTAATTCCAGCATTTGGGAGGCAGAGGCAGGCAGATCTCTGTGAGTTCAAGGCCATCCTGGACAGCCAGGGCTACACAGAGAAACCCTGTCTCAAACAACAAAACAAAATTCAAATAAAGAGATGCTTGGAGGTGGTCCTTTATCCAAGATCACCCAGATAATCCATCCCACAATGGGGACCAGCTCGAGCTCCTTGCACACCCTGTTGTCATTTCCTGGGAAGCCTCTGTGGTTCAGGAGAAATTAACATGTTCCTTGAGACACCTTGCCAGGTAGCTCTGAGATAGTGAACTGAGAAGCCTTGAGCTCTGAAACTGACTCCACTCATTGGATCAGTTTTTAAAGGTTGACAGGTCAACAGGAAGCAAGGTCCCTGGTGGAACCGGAAGTCAGCCCCTACTGGGCAAGTTGCAGCTCTCTTGTGGTGTTTGTGCCTCGGGAATGTTGTCAGCTGCCTCTCCAGGACTTTGGCATAATTGACAGGTGCCAATGCCACCCCACCTTGCCTCTGCTTGGTGGGGCGAATGGTGTCTCCTGTCACCTGTCACCCCAGCCCCCGGTTCTCCAGGCAGCACCGCAGAACTACAAGTCTTCGGAAGTAACATTTCTCTCTCCCACTCCCAGCCATTACATTGGATCACTTCCAATTGAGTCGCCCTCCACCCATTGCAAATGCCTGGCTCAGTGATCCAAGCCCCCGTCACCCTGTGACCTTCAGCTGCCTCCACCCCCACAAACCCCTTCCTCCAGCTTCCCTCTCCACCCACCCACCTTGTGCGTCTCTGAGCAATGGGCCTCGCCACGGGAGCCTGCCACATGCAAGGTCATCAGTGTTCCTGCCAAGGATGGGAAGGGGTGACTCAGTTCCCGCTTGCTCATCTAGGGAAGGAGAATGAAGGAGAGAGAGGAGGGACAGAAACCCATTCAGTTTTGCCTTAAGCTTCACCAGGAGGAGGACTTGGCTTTGCTGACTGTGGAGCCTCTACTAGCTCACAGGGTCCAGAGAAAGTTACTGCAGTAAACATAGGACCACTGAAGCCAGGTAGCACTGAAGGGCAAAGCAACACCTGGTATCCTGGCACTCAGAAAAGAGTGCTTCTTTTTCATCCACAGTACAAGTCTTGCCCTCAGGAAGATGCTAATCTGATGTGGGAGACACAGCCTTTACCCCAGTCTGAATTGCCACCCAGCTCTTCCTCCAATAGTGCTCAGTCTGTTGAGGGAGGTACAACCCCTACCCCCCAGGTACTGCCTTCCCCAACTCTGATGGGGAGACACAAGCCAAGTCCTTGAAGAGTGTCTTGGTCTGGTCTGGTAGGCTTGCTCCAGAGTCTACATCCTATAGGAGAGACAAGACCCTTACCTATGAGGGCAGCGGGGGAGGGAAGACAGACCAGAAGCGCAATCCCCAAACAGGTTGAGAAGGTTGACCTCAAGGTGCTGTGGGGAGGTCAAAGGATCCTGACCTTCTCTTGAAGGGCTCCTTCAAGAAGAATCGGTCTCCTGTGGGGCCTCCCCAAGGCCAGAGAGTTTTATGGGACCTGAGGTCCGTCTCTTACAGGGAATGACATAGCTGTTGCTCAGAAGGGCAGAGGTGGGTATCCTCTTAGCCCGGGAAATTGGGTGGACCTGCTATCCTTGTGAGGATCAAGGGGGCTCATGAGCTATCTGAAAAGACTGAGAGAGACCAGAGGGCTCCTCCAAGGAATTTAGGATTTGGGAAGTCATTTGTTAGCCAGATCTGAGCTGAGCTCAGCCTGGTTGCCGGGGAAGGCAGATAGGCAGGGAAGAGGAGGCAGAATGTGCATGAGGGTGAAATGAAGTTATTAAAATGAACCCACCCCCTGTGCAGGCAGCACCGTGTGCCAGAAAGGCCGGGCCCTCCAGCTGTCGGCAGCAGCTGGTTCTCCACAGGGGAAGAGGAGTAGGAGGGGCAGGTCAGAGTGCCCCTGCACCCCCTCAAGTTCAGTGTTCACACAGAGGTGGGAATGGGGGCACCTCACAGTTCCTTCTGCCGCTGCTGCTACACCCCACAGGTGCCCTGGGACTGTCTGATGAGAACCCTCCAGATTCTAGTGGCCAAGGTTTCTCCTGGTGGGGGTGGAGGATTGGGAGGGGGCAAGCCCAAGCCCCTCTGACTGTAGTCAGTGGTACAGAGGGAGAAAGCTGTGTCGGGGTATGTGTGTCTTGAGTCTGCTCAGAAGAAATGGCTTCAGGGTGATTCAGGGCATAGCTGCAAAGGAAGTGACTCCCCCCTTCCCCCTGCCCACAGCCATCTTGCTTTCTAGGTCATTTCACATAGAGAGGGGCTGCAACCAGGTGACTATGTGCTGCAGTGTGTAAGCATGGACCATCTGGGCTCTGAGCGAGTGGGCAGAGGGCAAAGACTGGAAGATGCCAGGCCACTGGCCCTCATTCCAGGACTCTCCACATTACAGCTACACTTCCAAAAGGAACCTTTGGACCTGAGTGCTGACCTCCAAAGAGAACAGACCTAGAATGGCCTCCAGAAGGGACATCATGGTGGGGGCTCCATCCTTCCCTTCACCCGAGTCCCCCAAATCAAGGACCCTTGCCTGGGCATCCATCTGTTCTGGTGCCACCTCTAGCAGGAGGACAAAGTGGCTACTCTCATGCTCTTTTAGTCCCCATGCCACCATAGTCTGTTCCTTTTCCCCCAAGAGGCAGATGGGAGTCACAGCTGGAGAGAGCAGAGACTCCTCGTCCTCAGGAGCTGGAGCCAAGTTTGCTTAGAGGTCATTGGGCAGTTCTCAAAGTCTGTCAGCATCCACCCAGGCCCAAGGCCCAGATACAGACCCTGCCCACTCCTACTGAGTTAGGGAGGACCCTGAAGGCTGTTGGAGCACTAGCCTGGGTGATTCTCATGGCTGCATGATACAGAGGAAGAAACAGAAAGAGGCTGCTGAGGGCAGTGAACTTGACCAGGCCATAAAAAAAAAAAAGCAGAGATGGGACACCCTTGGGCATCATCCACTGCCCCCTGCAGGGCCAGAGATGACAACTCAGTGAGGACTGGGGGAGGAAGATTTTGGCCCATACCTCCTTTGCTGGCTCTTACCCCAAGCTGCCCCTTCAGGTGCCATGCCCAGTCCCAAAAGTGTTTGTTTGGGCCTCTGGCCCTTGATCTGTTTGCCTGCAAAGAATGTGAGAGAAGGCAGCCCCAAAGCCTCAGGGAGCTTGATCAGGGATCAAGAGGTCTATAGCTTTGATCCCCATTTGGAAAATGCTAGCCAGACAGGGGTCCAGGTACCTCTCCCCTGGATAATTCAGAATATGGTGCCCTGGGAAATCTTTATTCCCTGCTCCAAGGACAAGACTCTGCACAGAGAAGTGACAGGGCATTTCACAAGACTTCCCACCCCTCCCCCCACCCCCACAGACAACACGAGGGCACAGTTCCAGCGTGGCCACACAGTCCAGTCTCCTGAGCCCCATTCTGCTGATAGCCCCATGGCCCAGAGAAGAAGTTCCCACCCCTATTTTGGAATGCACACTCAGCGGGGTTAGGGCAGAGGTGGGCACACAGCACACCGGCAGGTTTCTGCTTATGCCCTTCATGCTAGGAGGACATAACAGTCCTGTCTGGGCTGGGCATGGTGTGCCATTGGCAAGAGGGTGACAGCGGTGCAGAGTGCTGGAGGGAGAGGGTATTTCGGAAAGGGGTGGCCTGGCTGGTGACAGATAGTCATGACAGCAAAGACCTGAGGATGGGGATGAGCTCACCACTTTAGTCTCAGTGCAGGAAAAGGACTCCGGGATGCCCACTGTGAGCCCCCAAGGAGGAAGCCACTGAGCCAATCTGTCCTAAGCTGTCTGCCTGGCCTACACAGCCGGAAGCCCCTTTGTTGACCGCTGCCCTCTTTCTGAATGACAAGGAGAGAGCCAAGGGTTAAGGCCTTCTCCGTGGCTTGATCTGGGGCCACCTGGCTTGCCTGCCCAGAGGCCTCAGAGTCCAGCATCAGCTTTGGACCAGAGGGAAAGCTCTGTAAGCCCGTCCAGGGCCTACTCCTCCTCCTTAACAAGTACAATCTCACCCCAGGTTGGGGCCAGCCCTGGGAACCCTTCCCCAACACCTGAGGCCTGGCCCTGGCCCATCTGGCCTCTTGCCCTCTCCACCCCCTCCCTTCCTGAGACCCATCCCTTCCCTGCCCAGTGTCCAGACAGCTGGCCTCCTGCACAGGCCTGTGTGGCCCATCTAGGTCACCCAGATGGGTAGTAGGGGGTATCGCTGTGGTAGTTGTAATCTGGGCACACCTTCTGCACCAGTCTATAGTCCGTGCTGTAGAAAGCAATGTAGACACACACGACTTTGAAGGGCTGGGAGCAGCTCCAGGTGGCTGAGCTCTGAGCGTGGTCTCGAGAACAGATCTTGGCTGGGTCATGGGTACAGAGCGAGGTCCGGCGGCCTCGTTCTACCTTCTCCCACTCCATCCGGCAGTTGAAGATTTTGGAGGCCTTGGCTTCGATGAAGATTTGCTGTTCCTGGTGGAACTCTACAGCTTTGCTGGGGGGTACAAGGCTGATGGAGATGTTACCCTGGCCTGTGGCGTTGTGACGGAAGTGGACGCTGAAGGTCCCGTTGCCGTGGTCCACGATCTTCCCTGTGACCAGCAGGTTCAGAGCCACTGTCTTGATGTTGGAGTAGAAATCACCCCATCCAAATATTTTTTTCACCTTGGTCGAGGGTAGGGAGCTTTGCTTGGGGCGGTTGGGGGGCTGCCCAAGGACACCCCAAGCCTCCCCGGGTGGGGCCAGCAGCCCTAGGAGGGTGGAGTTGGCCAAGGGGCGGGACTTAGGTGAGATGTGACCTCGCTTCCTAGGCACCCTAGGCCGAGGCTGGCCCTCGTGGTCGTCATGCTCAGGGTCCTCTGAGCCAGGGGGGCCATCATCTTGGCCACAGATAACCTATGGAGGGATTTGGAAAAAGAATTAGAGCTTTGTCCCCAGAGGACCCAGGAGATTTGAGATCTGACCTACATCCCTATCACCATCTTTATGTTCTCTGCCCCTGGCTAAGGGGGGCACCTGCTTGTTCCCTTGTGGTGTACTCGGAGTACACACTGGCTCTCTCAAGACCCACTCTCATGTTCTAATACATCAGTCACTTCATGTCCTTTCTTTTCTGCCCTGCCTCTGGATGCTATTCAAAACCTAGGATGGTCAGGAAGTGTCTCCCCTTCATGGATTAGGGTATCAGAGACACAGGTCTCTTCTCCAGATAAGCCCCAGTCAGGTAGGAAGGGCTCAGCTTTTTATGTTTGTTTGTTTGTTGTTTTTCGACTACAGGGTTTCTCTGTGTAACAGTCCTGGCTGTCCTGGAACTCACTTTGTAGATTGGGCTGGCCTTGAACTCACTGAGATCCGCCTGCCTCTCCCTTCCAAATGCTGGGATTAAAGGCCTGTGCCACCATCTCCCATCCAGGGCTCAGCTTGTGACCTTGCAGAAGCTCTCAGTGTGAAGGCCAGGTAGAATCCCTACCCTTGATATGGCCAAGACGCCAGGGAGGCACCATTTCTGTCCTCCAGCACTCCTTAACCTGGAGTTGGGGAGTTGCAAGTTATTTGGGGAGCCTGATGCCTGCCTTAGGAACTCCCTTGTGCCAGCACACCTACATCTCATGCCGTTTAAGACATTTTAGTCTTCTGGCTGAGACACCATTCCTAGCCTAGGATAACTGCTGGCTTCAAAGTCAAACACCACAAAATAAGAATCCAGAAACAGTGACAGTCCTGGGCAGGTACCAGTTTGTTTCAGGTTTTGCTAAAGCTAGGAGACCCAGGTGTGAATGCCACACCCAGGATGGCCAGCTCGAGGAAGCAAAACCCTTCTCTGGGGAACACTGGTGATGACATGCCAAGACAGCACTTGCATGATGAGGGACCAGTTCTTGTGAGTCCCATTTCACAGGTGAGGACATCAGGATATTCAGGTTACATCACCAAAAGACATAGGCCACAAGTGTCCCATCACGAGGCACAGACCAGATGTACCTTTGCAAAAGACTTTTACTGAAGCCCTGTTTCCACCTGGATGTCCTGTCAAACTCTGCCAGGGTTTTCTCGCCTCAGCAGGCTCAGCTATGGTGACAGGCCACACCTTGGGGAGGCTTCCTGGAGAAGGGTGGAACAAGCCAGCAGGGGAGGTTACCTAACTCCCTAGACTCAATGGTCTGGATGTGTTTGCTCAGTTTCTGGGACCGAGTTCTCATCGGTGTGTCTATGTCACCAGCGAGGAGACACCAGCTTAACTGCAACATCTGGATCGATGATGACATGGGTGGGGCCGAGGGATTCCTGAGGAGCTGGGATGGGAGGTTCCAAAAGGGTTTAGTCTTTATGTCTCTTGCTCTGGTCTTGGCTGTGCCTATGCCTGTGTGCTGTGACCAACCCAGTATCTGTCCCACGGCTAAGGCTGGCCCTGCTTTCCAGGTTCCCAGTGTCCCCCGGGTCAGGATAGGCAGGCAGGGAGGCTCCTAGGGCTGGGTTCAAGGTTGCCCACTTGTTCGGAGCTGGCTCTAGGGTTTAATTGAATGGTTGAGATAGTCAATAGCTCAGTAGTGATCAGGGCCACAGGTAAGGGCCAAGCAGGGAAGGCTTCCTCTCCAACAGCGGACTGGGGGTGGGAGGGTTGCTGTCAATGGGAATTGTTTTGAGGAAGGGGGCAGTTCCAGTGGTGCTGAGGCTTCTCCAGGACAGGATTGGGGTCGGAGACAGATGTAGGGCGGCGGGCTAGGGTGGCGGGGGAGTTAAGCTCTGGGCTAGGGTCCGGGTGGGGTTCCAGGGCATCCTGGGCCGCGGGGGAGCGGGCTCTGGGCGCTCAGCTCAGCTGCTATGAGCGCCTGGGGCGGGAGCCGCCTGCCCAGGTCCTGTGGGGCTCGGGCTGCGCGCAGCCGGGAGAGGCGAGGAAAACAACAGGCGAGGAGGGAGGGAGCGGGAGGGACGGCGGGAGGAAGGGACGCGGAGGCCGCCCCCAGTCCGCCCGGGCTTTGCGCGCCAGGGCCCACAGTTTGGGGTTCTCTGGGCCCCAGAGGTCAGAGGAGAAGCCTGCGTCCCCTGACCCGGCAGGTCAGCTGCCCCACCCCCGTTCCGCGCGTCCTGGGATGCTGCGAGAGGTCGGGTAATCCTTGGCGACTCAGCTCCGAGGGGCCTTTTCCCTAGTGTCACTCGCACCTCCCGCCATCAGCCGCGGAGTGGGTGGGCCAGCCAAACACCCTCCTCCCCGCCCCTATTAACCCTTCCTGTCCGGCCTCCGGCCTCGGACCCGCCCTCTCCCCCAGCCTCCAGCTTTCGCCCGCCCGCATCCCTGGGATGTCAGGGGAGGGGGGAGGGAGAAAGTTTCAGGGCTCCGCGGCTTCCCGCGCTCTCCCCATCCTCTGGCCCCCGCCCTGCGCCGCTCCCCGCGGACCACTCACCAGATAGAGGCTGCCCTGCACTAGGAACACGAAGCAGCAGCGGGTCAGTTGCATCTTCCTCCTCCGCTCTCACCCGTCTCTCTTTTCCTTTCGGGGTCCCAGTCCCCCTCTTCCCTGGACTGCTCCTTCAGGCGCGCTGTCCCATGCTCCCGTCCCCGGTGGTTCGCGGCCCTCCCCTCAGCCCGTCGCTGGGACC